CGTCACCTTAGTTATAACGTACGAGGGAAGAAATCGGGGTTCATTTATTCGTTTCCCATTTTTCTAACAAACCTCCTCTCCGGAAAACGAGTTTACTATCTATATACAGGTGAAATCGAAAGTAATGCCTACTCGATTTCCCGATAAGGAAGACGGATGAAGGACACGGACATACAAGGTTGAAATCGAGGATGGGAGCCTTTTGTGCCGAGGCCTATAACTGATGAACGATGTGCTCATCGTCGGGCGTGATGAAGCAGCACTACCCGAACCCAGAACGAGCTCCAAGACCTCGAAAAATATGGCAAATGGTTGCAAGCGACTAATAGAGGGTCGTGATATCCGCACCCAACTAGATATCACGATGCAGAACTCACCCGATGTTGGTTACAGATCAGTAATTAACGAGAAAGGAGGATTTTTATCTCTTTTAGAATTGTACTGGGGATGAAGCTCTCCTACTATATAAAGGGGAAGCTTTTTCTTTAAGAGACACATTGTAACACGCATACCAAGAAAATACAAATTTATTTTTCTGCTTTCTAGCTATTGCAAAGTTTTTACTTTACTGTTGTTCTTCATTCTCAATTGGCTTAGAACCAAGGATTCAACCGAGGCAGAAATTATTGCCCAATCCAAGTTCAAGCTGGGTCATAAAACTACAACTGGTTTGATTATTCATTTTGTCTTTCACTCGTTTATCCAATATCTTTGATTATTTGTGTTGAATCAACCCACATATTGTTTAACCAAAAATATGTCTTTTGATCAAAATATAATTTTAGAAGAAAGCAGGTTACTGATAAGCAAATTTTACTTCTCTTTCTCAACGATATCAAAGGAAAATAATAAGAATAACTGAGGAAATAATTGATAGACAAATTGCAAAGTCAAGGTAGAGAATTTCGAGAAAGCAGAAAAGTAAAGAGTATATTTCAATATTGTCTCAGATCTATCTCTACAAATAGAATTCTGTGTCCTCTTATTGGAATATACAGTGGTAACGTTTTTTCCCACATAATTTGGGTTGGTTATGGGCATTAATGATATTAATTGCCCATTGTTTCGGATATCTACAACTGGCGTATTTATTGATATAAATGCCTCATATTTGTTCCAATTTTTTTCCTTACTTACTTTCGGTTCATGTATCTTTCCTTCTCTTTATCCTTTATTGATTCCGTCCTTATTTATTCCTTGCCAACTGTTAGTCCCGATACCATCTCGTGGGTATTTCTTACCGTGCCTTCTCTTCTATATTAATTAAGAAAGCCACATGTCGTTGTATCATTGTCCCACTTGCCATGCCATGTTAGCATTCCAATATTCCACGTGTAGCGCTTTTTCACCACCAATACAAATAGTCCCCCCACTTTCTTGAATATTCTTTACTGAATATTCGGGGAAGTGGAAAGTTTTATGGCGGGAATTCCCTGCCGCTATTTTCAAATGTAATCTTACATCCTTCTGAACTCATGCGATGCATATCACTTCCATTTAATGATCATGCCACGTAGCTTTTGCTATTTGTTTCTTCAGCGCTTTTTTGGGCCTTTCTGCAGCCGCATCAATCACGAAATGACGGTTCCATTATGACGCTTCATAATGATCTTAATAGTCGTGTCTTCTTACAAATACTTCTCCTTTCTTTGATTTTCTGAAGTCTTTCCTCCTTCGTCTTCTTGTTTTACATCTTTCTTGTTCTTCTTTAGATAATCATGTCTTTCCCTGATCCTCGCAAAGCTATAATTGTCGACGAGTTTGTTTCTTCCAATGCTCCTACTAGAAGTAGAAAAGGTGGTAGTCTGCATAGCCTTCGTTCTATTTCTAACCGTGGTTCCGCCTCTCAAAGTAGTGTTGTCATCCATCTTATTATAGACCTAGGGCTCCTATAACCCCAAGATATTCTTCTAAAGATAAAGATTCAACTCAAGCTTTACTTGAACCCACTGTTGATGAAATTGTCCCTCAACAGTTTTCCTTTGTGACTGATAGTGAATCTATGAAGAGTCAAGTTTCTTCCATGGCTTCCCTTGATCGTGTTGACCATTACCCAACTTTGATTACTACCATTCTTCTCGCTCTCGTTCGAAGAGAATATTATTGGAAACCTGACTTCCCAATTTTAGTTCCTGGTGCCAACCAGAGAATAACTTCATATCAGACTAGTTATTCCTTCGTATACACATATCCTTTTACCCTAGGCTTTAAACCTCCTATTGATCCAGTGATCATTGAATTCTACCGCTACTTCAATGTGTTTTTAGGATAGATTGGTCCTATTGTTTGGAGAGTTGTTGCATGCCTTCGTTATTCAAACTTGGCTTATATGCCTTTTACTTTCTGCTTCATCTTTACTCCCCTAAATTATTTTGTGAAGGAGTTTTTTCCCTTGTGGCCAAAAGTAAAAGAGTATTAGCTAGCCCTCAAGATGACAGAGATCGTGGCTGGTATTCCCGCTTCGTTGCTGTTCCCACTAGTGCTTTGGTGAGCGAAGAAAACATGCCTTTTGCACGTAAGTATTTCTCCTTGTCTTTTTCCTTTCTCAAAAAAGATACTCATATATTCTCATGCCTACTTTTTCAACAACCATGGAAGTTTTCGAGGATATTCCTAACTTCCGTGTTTAGGTAGAGAAGTTACTATCTGTTACCCCTATAAAGAGAAGATCTTGAAATATCTCTCACAGAGATTTGGCTGGAAAGTTAAGACACACGGTACTTTTCCCGCTTAGTCTTTTTCTTTCACTCTTTTGCTAATTTAAGAGTTTCTTACCATGCCTTTTTACTTTACTAGGATTTCCTATTCGTGGTGTCAGTCCTGCCTCTGTTTCATCCACAAGACTTACCATGAGTCTTGCACAAGAAAGAATTCTGAGCTCTTCTTCGAAAAGAAAGGTTGATGGAGCCCGTGGCTCTGAGAGTGAAGAAGAACCGGAAGAGGGTTCTTTGGTTCGTAGGCCCCGAGTCAGGAGACGCGATATTTCTAATCATGAAACTACCCCTACATCAAGCTCATCTCCCTCCAGACCTTTGGACGAGCCAGAAAGTGCCCCGTTAGTGATATCTGATGAAGAAGTGAATGATCCCCCTCCTGCTTCTGTTAAACAGTTATTTTCCCATGGATTCGGAAGTGAGGGAGCCTTTAACCCCGTTTCTGAGGAGTTTCCCCTTACCTATTTTCCAACGTCAGTCCCCGATTACTCGAGTTCCCTTACTTGAAGTTGCTACCGATGCTCCCCCCATGATTGCTTTCACCTCATCTGCCATTTCAACTGCTACTACTTCTCACATAGAGGTTGATCCCTCCATTAGCAAGAAGGGGATGAAGAAAATTATTGTCGAGGTTCCTGAAGGCGGGAACTTATTGAAGAAGTCGGGTCAAGCTGACGTATGGTTGAAGCCTTTACTAGGCCCCATGGAGAAGGCAAAGTTGGAGAGTCACAGTTCGTTGACTTGGATGAATGATATTGTTCATTCATCTCTAAAGGTTCGAGTTTGATTTTACACCCTCTTTCTTCTCTTTTCATGTTATCCATAACACTTTCTTTTCTTTTTTTTTTATAGATCAATTTGATAGGTACTGAGCTAATGAAAAGGATTGTCCATGCTGACCAACAAATTATTGATTATCGCACCGAGGCTGATAATTGGAAAGAGCAATTTGAAGGTCTTCAACTGAAAAAGGAAGTGTTGGCGGAGGAGAAGGATGCCTTAGAGCAACAAATTCAAGTGGTCGCTTCTGAGTTAACAAGTGATAAGGATTCTTCAAGACAAATTGGTAAGGATAAGGATATCCTTGAGTCCTCATTTGCTGAGCAGCTTTCAAAGGCAACCGAGGAGATAAGGAGTTTGAGGGAACTCCTTAACCAGAAAGAGGCTTATAGGGGAGAGTTGGTTCAAACACTTACTCAAACTCAAGAAGATCTTCGTGCCTCTATTGATAAGGTTATGTTCTTGGAAAGTTCCCTTACTCCTTTGAAGGTAGCTTTTTATGCTTCTTAATAGAGAAGGAGGAGTTGATAACCGAGATTGATCAGTGGGAGAAAGACTATGAGGCTCTCGAGGATAAGCTGTCACTTGAAGTGAGTAGAGCTTTTTTGGAATACTCGCCTCGAGACTCTAATGGAAGCCAGCCAGGAGGGTTTGGACCTTAACGCTGAGATTGCTAAAGCTAAAGAGGCAATCGAAAAAATTAGCAGAGTCAAAGTTTTCCTTCACCTAAAGATGGAATTCCCGAGGATGATGGACTTGCTCCTGGTGAAGCTAATATTCAAACCTCTTCTTCTCAAGCTGACCCCTCTACTTCCGTCAATGATGCTCCCGTTACTGATGTTCCAGTGGATGACGCCTCCTAGTATTTTCTGTTACTTGATGGTTTTGTTTAGAACTTTTTTGTGGGAAGTTTTTCATTTCTTTTTGGAATAGTTATTGGTTTACCCATATCTTGTTCTGGGGTTTGATGACAAACAAGTGCCTTATTTTTTGCAAAGTTTATTATATAAATTTCGGCTTTCCTTTCCGCCTATTTTGATGTTTGAGTTTTTGTTCCACTCTTTAACATTCAATTTTGCATTAAAAATGCTTTAAAGTCCGTGATTCTGATGGGCACGAAATTTTAATAAAAGAGGGCCCTTTTATAAGCGACGCTGATGAAGATGATGCTCATCTTCAAATTGGTGTAAATATATGAAAGAAGTAGAAAAAGAAATAATTTGAGGAAGTTTTATGCTTTGAACTTTCAAATTTTGTACATAATTCTTCATTTATGTAATACAACATTTACAACTCTTTGACAACTGCTTTATTTGTAACAGGTTTCAAAATTCCGTGTCTATTATCCCGTGACTAATTATTGACCTTAACCTAAAAACTCATAAGAACTTGGAGTATATCTTGTATCCATCTTGTGTCCTTTTTTCGAGTTTCTTCAAAGATTTTCGAATGCTTGATTTTTTTGGCTCTTAGGATTCAGGCTTGAATTATGACATTTTGTCTTCTTTACCTCTTCGTATATATATAGTCCCACTGGATTGTTTCTTCCTTTGGTCCATTCCCTGTAAAGGAAAATACACACGGGACTCGGAAGTATACATTTAGATGATGACTGCTTAACCCCTTTTTTCCATCTGAAGAGTTGTAACCTAAACCAGGAATAATTCAGTATTCCTCATGTCTTTCAGGTCTAATATCTTCATTTGGTAAGGTCTAGCTTTTTGCCTATCATCTAAAATGGTTAGTATAATTAAAAAGAACAAAATTAAATCATATGTGAGTGATACCTGACCGTGGATACTTCCTTTGCCTAGAAGTAATACTTCTTTAAATGAACAACATTCCAATTTGATGGGAGTACTTTTCCTTCCATTGTTTCCAACTCATATGCTCCCTTTCCAGCAATGCTTCGAATTCTATAGGGTCCTTCCCAATTTGGACTCAATTTACCTACATTTGCTGCTTTTGTTGATTGAAAAACCTTTTTGAGGACGAAGCCCCCAATCTTGAAGTATCTAATATGAGCTTTTTGGTTGTAGTATCGCTCAATAAATTGTTTCTGAGCTACCATTCCTATTAGAGCCGTTTCTCTCCTTTCTTCAAGCAAATCAAGATTTATTCGCATTTCATCCTCTTTTGATTCCTCAGTTGCTTGTGTATATCTTGTGCTTGGTTCACCTATTTCAACTGGGATTAAGGCTTCAACACCATAAACAAGTGAGAATGGAGTCTCTCCCGTACCTATTTTTGTTATCGTTCGATAAGCCCATAAGACTCCTGGTAACACTTCAGGCCACTTACCTTTTGACTCCTCTAATCTTTTCTCCAGGTTTTTAATAATAACTTTGTTTGTTGATTTGGCTTGTCCATTAGCCACAGGGTGGTAAGCTGTTGAAGTTATCCTTTTAATATGCCAACTTTGAAAAAAAATTGTGATTTTCGTGCCTATGAATTGCGAGCCATTGTAACATACGATTTCTTTTGGAACTCTGAACCGGCATAATTCCCTGAATTCTTTCTCCCGCACCTGTTTGAAGGCACCTGCTTCTACCCACTTGGTAAAATAATCCGTTAAAACTAACAAAAATCGTACCTTTCCTTTAGCTTGCGGTAGTGGACCCACGATATCCATCCCCCACTTCGTAAAAGGCCATGGTGAAATAACCGGATGTAATAGCTCCGCTGGGCGATGCATGTTATTGCCATATCGTTGGCATTTGTCACACTTGGCCACAAAACTTTCCGCATCATCTTTAGTTTTTGGCCAATAGTATCCTGCTCTTATTAGAGTTTTTACCAAGGATCTTCCTCTTGCATGATTTCCATAGTGCCCCTCATCTACATCTCTAATCATATATTCTGTTTAAGAAGGTCCAAGACACCTTGATAAAGGACCTCCGAACATCTTTCGATACAGGTTTCCATGAACCAAACAGTAATGGGAAGCATTTCGTTGAAGTGACTGAGCCTTTTTCATGTCTTCAGGTACAAGTCCGTATTGTAGAAAATTAACAAATTCGTTTCTCGGTTCCAAGTTAAATTATTAAAATTTACCTTATTTTTATCTTGGTCGAGTGCCGAATGAAACAAATGTATTACGGTAGAATTTTCCGTATTCGTTACTTCTACAATAGCTGCGAGATTAGCTAGTGCGTCTGTTTCCGCATTTTCTTCCCTGGGTATTTGCACGATATTCCACGATTGAAATTGTCTGATTAATTCTCGTGCCTTTTCCAAATATTATTGTATTCGCACCTCTCTTGCTATGCAAGTCCCCTGCATCTGATTAATTCCCATCTGCGAATCACTTTTGATTATAATCTGCTCTATTCCGAGTTCTCGTGCCAATTCCAGACCTGCAATTACAGCCTCGTATTCTGCTTCATTGTTACTAATGGGATGGCACTTTATTGCCTGCCTTATGGTTTCCCCCGAAGGTGGGATTAGAGCAATGCCTAAACCCGCTCCTTTTACATTCGAGGAGCCATCAGTAAATAGGGTCCAAGTACCTGGATTAGATCCGGTGAATACCTGTAGTTCCTTTTCTGCTTCAGGAACTATCCCTGCATTTAAATCTGCCACAAAATCTGCTAAAACTTGCGATTTTATTGCAGTTCTAGGTTGGTGTTGATACCCAATTTTTCCCTATGTATTTTTCGTACCCAAAATACTTCCTAAATAGCATATTTGTGCATATATAAGCACACCCATGAGTTTTGATATTTTTTGATGATTTTTAAACCAATTTATTGCCTATTTTTATACCATAAAATCCAATAATTATTCCCGAAATTTGTCATTTTGGTGAACGATTTATTTTATTCTCATATTTACATCAAAACATAGCTAACATGATTTTTGCATATTTCTTAAAATTCATTTGGCATTTTTAAAACCAAATTGCATATAATTGCAATACTAGCCTCTTTAAAGATTCAATTGTAATTATATTTATAAAATTGACTCCAGTATTTTTAATTTGATAATTATGTATCATTAATCATTTTATCACATTTGATTTATTTCCAGAAATTATTTTGCTATTTTTTATAAATTAAATCAAGGGAAAAGTGGCTATTTAAGAGTTAGCCCTTTACATTTCAATTTTAGCCCGAAATTAACCTCAATCTTAAGCCCAAATCAGACCCAAAATTCCCTACCCAATTTCTTAATTAACCCGACCCACGGCCCGTTTATTTTTACCCGTCCGGCTCCCTTTTGATCTAGGTCGTTGATCAAAATGATCAACGGCCACATTTCCTCCTTACCATTTTAATTCCCAAACGACCCTAACCCTATCCCCATTCTCCCAAATCCGCCGCCTCTGGTTCCTCTCGTCTCTCTCGAACCCTCTCAACCTCTGAAACCCTAATATCCACCTACCTCCAGAATCCATGGCTAATCTAGCCATGGACAACCTCTACCCACCATCTCCTGCTCTCACACGCTTGCTCATTGAAGATTCGAGGCTAGACCTTGAAGGTCTTCATCCAGACCCTGGCCGGTTCGAGTTTCTTTGGCCGTTTACGGCTTTGCTCCGGCGTATCTCAGCCTTTCGAGCCTGGATTCGACCTTGCTAGCTTAGAACCATTCTCGAGACTTCCAAGCCTTCTCGTCCTTTTGGGTTCTTAGAAACCCTAGCCTAATCGAGGTTCCTTTTTCGCTTATTCGTCTAGATCTATGCTAGATCTATGCTGTGTGTGCCATTTTAGAGTTTTTCCCCAATTTTCCCTTTTCAAAACTGTTCGAATCCTATTTTTAGGGTTTTCTAAATGTTTCTGATTCTTTTACTCTTTTTATGTGTGTTCATGCTCGTTGTTTTATCCCTTGTTATGTTCAAGCATGCTCTTGTGTTTCTTAATGGATCTTTTACGGAGATTCTTTTACCTCTTTTGTTCACATGTTAGCCTAGGTTATTGACTCGCTTTTGCTTATGTGTTTAAGCTCATGCTTTGATTTTGTTTCTGAGTTCTGTTGATCATGCTCTTGCCTACCTTCGTCTTAAAACTCGTAATTTCCTCTTACTTCTGTTTGTGCATATCTGCCTATCTCTGTGACTTTGAACGATTCCCTCACCTCCGACTCCATGTGAAACCCTAAGATTTGGGGGGTTTTCTTTTCTTTGAAGTGAAAGACACTAGGGTTTCACTCTGAAAACCTAGGTTTACAGACTCATGACGAGTCTGTAATCGAACTTGTGAACTTATTTGCCTATGATTATGGAAAAAACTCTCATTGTTCTTCTTTGTTTTGAATTGCATGCTTATATATAAGCTTCCCTTTCAAAGTTTTATTTTCGAAATTCCTTTAATCAGGCTAAGAAATTCGTCACTAATTTTCTCTTGATTGAACCTCTTTTACCTTACTGATGTTTTCCTTAAATAATTGATCCTGTATCTTCTGTGATCTTGTACCAACGTTTGAATTATTTACTTCCTTAATTATCTCAGTCTCTTTGTGATTTACAACTGGAGCCGAGATCCTTTGACTGATTTTTAAACTTATACCTTATTCTTACTACTGTGCCCTCTTTCCTTAAATATCCAATTGTGTATGTGACCTTATTTGTGCACCATATGGTCTCTTTACCTTAATTTAGCCTTAATAAACTCATTCTCTCTTCCTTCTTAGTCGTCTGAACTAGACCCTTAATTAAAGGAGTCTGTCTACCCTGATTGATACTAATTTGATTAGTTTCTATGTTTATACCTTTGTGCCTACCTCACCTGTTTTCAAAACTATATAAAGGGCTCAGCCCTCCCCTTTTCAAAAGGGCAGTAACAATGAGTAAGTAACAATCAAGCAATAATAGGCAATCTGCTTTCTACTCCCTTCTTCTCTCAAATACACAGACCAGTTCTGTGTACTTCTCCTCTTTGCTTTCTGAAATACCCTTTAAGCTCTCCTTGAATCTTCAAGTGTTCTGCTGAAAACCTGAGTTGTTTCTGCTGTTTGCTTGCTGTGGTTACTCTGCTATTCTCTTACTTTGCAACTGGTATGTCCATCTTAGTTTAAATACTGCTCCTCCACTATGTGTTTCACATCCTAGTTCTGTTATGCTTTCCTTTACTGTTTTTCTGCAACTTTGTGATTATTGTTCCTATGTGAATCCCCTTACCCTTTACCCTTTGTATGTGAGTTATGGTTCAGGGCATAACAACACTCCAATTTGCTGCCTATGATCCTGAACTGGATTCTTTGAATCCCAAACTCAATCAATGCCCATTCCCTTTTCCCCTTTTATGTGTCTGAGCCCTGGACTGGGGTCTGATAGTGTCCTAATCACTATCTAGACTTTGGTCTGACCTTCAAAAGGTCTGCTCCTAACTTGTTCAACCAAACAAGTGGTCAGGGGTGTGCCAGCGTACTTTGTTGCTAGTTATGACCAACACCTGTCATGGCTCCCCAATTCCCTGTTCACTTTGCACTTACTCTTAGCTATAAGTTCTGCCCCTCTCTTGCAAGCCATGCTTTGGGACCCCTGTGCTCCCTCTGAACTTGGATGCATGAGAGATGGCTCTTCCACACTGCACTATTCTAATTCTATAGTATCCTGGGTGTAAGCAATGCCTGGAATCCCTGAGATTCCTTGGAACTTTGAAACACCTTGGATAAAGAGAAGGCTTTGGAAATCTGGATCCCGGAAGTGGCTCAGTCGCATGTTATTAGACATTAAGGTTGAATTAGGCTACTTGGATCTAGCTGTTAGCTTTTGATGTATCTTTTAATTTCCAGTTTGATTTATTGGATTGTAATAATTTTGTATGGAACTCGGGGAGTATAGTAAAAGGGTGTGGTAGGGGTCTTTACTTTTCTTGCATCCAAGGGGGTAGAAATCATGAATTAGGATTTTTATTCAAACTAGAAATCCTGCTATGGGGTCTTTAATACCGGTTCAATCACATAGAGACCACGCCTATAGGATTTAACGCTTAGCTTTACCGCAAAATCACCTAGAAAGCATGTCTATAGGATTTAACATTCATGTTCTGTAATGTCACATATAGAGATCATGTCTGTAGGCTCTTGCATTTCTGCATATACAAATGTCATTAGGCAAACCGTTTATAGGCTCAATAACAAAGTTGCATATAGACATCATGTGTATAAGACTCCTATTAATGTCATGAAAGGGTGTTAAAATTGGTAAACGTATAGAAAGCATGCCTATAGGAAACCTCGTCTTTAATAGCATTATCCGTTCTTAAGCAGTATCGATTGCTGGAACTAGTGTCTTTACTAAAACTGGTAATTTTCTACTTCTGAAACCCGCTAAAATTGGTAAACCTTTTTCCTATAACCAATCTGTACTCCCCCGAAACTCGTAAACCTTTTAATCAGTCTACATTTTTTCTGAAACAATTGGTAACTCTTTTCTAAAATCGGTTTGCATCTTTTCTCTTTGTTTAAACTGATAATTCTTTTTTTTCTAAAATCAACTTGCATCTTTTCTGAAACTACTGGTAACTCTTTGCATCTTTTTTCCTGAAATTAATAGATCCTACGCCTAGGTTTTTATTTCAACTCATAAACAAAGGTTGGCTATTGGGTCAGTCCCTGACAACTGTATCCGAGTTGCCTAATGCAGACTCTCTGTTTAAATACATGTGTTGAACCAGTCCGCTCGCTGCTTAATTTAATCTAAGACCAAATCAGTATTTGTCAAGGCATGCTAAACTAAATGATTGTTTGACTTCTGGGGTTAATTTGAGCCTTGTATGCTTGCTTGTCCTCCCCTTTTACTTGATACTTGTTTTGAATGTCGAGCTAGAATTTTATCCTTTAAACTCAACAAAGGCCCCTATCCCTTTCTTCCCCTTTAGGATTAGAAGTCCTAATACCCCGGGACTAATAGGATTGGGACGGGTACGATACCGTTCCGCGCTTTAATACCTTAACGGGGTGGGAAGGGTGGACATGGAGATGATGATTACACGATAACACTCCGTGTACAACTGAGTATCAGTGTTGTGCGAA